GAACTGTGAGCCAGCTCACACTAATTCAGAGGGGACACTGGTCTCCAACCTTTTTGAGCTTGTGGGCACCTCTGGAATTCTGATGCAGGGTGGTGAGCACAATGTCAGACAGAAATGGCCACTGCAGGGGATGTGGAGCTGGCCACAAGAGGTCAGGGAGCCAGGCTATGCGTAGCTCTGGTGTCAGACTAGTATCTGGGAGACCCGGGTTCGAATCCCCAGTTGTGCCTTGGAAACTCACTGGGTGACCTTGGGCCACTCACACTCTCTCTCAGACCAACCTACCTCACAGGGTTGTTGTGAGGGAGGAAATGGAAGAGAATGATGTAAGCCGCTTTGCGTCTCCACTGAGAAAGGTGGAGTATAAATGAATTCAATAAGTAATAAATAAGAGTTAAGAATTTCCGGCAGAAGCTTTGTTTAACGAGACTACACTAAATACAAGGGGACCACAGAGATACTAAGTACAAAAACAAAATACACAGTGGAGAGAACGTGTTGCTCAAGGTCAAATACCACTAAAGTGCTACTTCAAGGCGTATGTCTCAAACATAATAAATGAGAAAATCATGCATGGAGATTAAACTATAAATCCTTTAGTATGATCTGTAATCTTCTTTGCTGTTTCTTAGTTTCAGACTTTCAAGTCTGCAGGGAAGCTGAAAAACCAGGCTGACGTCTCCTGTCGGCCGAGAGAGTTTCAATTCAGCTTCTTCAGAGCCGATATATTCTTATGGAACCACACAGTTTGCATATTCTGCATGCCTTATCATACTCCCACAAGGTCTCGTTACACTCCTTACAGCAAACCAGTTCTTTATACTTGTGTATTTGTTTCATAGCTTTTGTGCTTTAATAAGCAATAGGTATACATGGATCGTACTAAAAGATTTATAGTTTAATCTCCATGCACGATTTTCTCATTTGTTATGTTTGAGACATATGCCTTGAAGTAACACTTTAGTGGTATTTGACCTTGAGCAATACGTTGTCTCCACGGTGTATTTTGATTTTGTTATTGTTTAATGAGAGGCCTTTTAATCTGCATTTACAGGAGGCCTCTTAATCTGCATGGCCAATCAGAAGCCCAGTTGGGCGAAAACCTCACCTGGCCCCACTTGCTTTCCAAAAACCCTCGGCAGGCTTCAGGAAAGGTGTCAGCACTGGCTACGGCACCCCTAGGCACTGTGTGTGTGTGTGTGTGTGACCTCTGTGCTAGAGTTCCATCTCCTGCCAAGTGCCACAGGCAGATTTCTGAAGTAGTGGGATTATATTTTCTAGAAGTTGTTGGGGCAAACTCTTTGGCACTTGGAATAAAAATCTGGCTTTTGTCAGGGCAAGCTCCTTGGTGCTTGGAATAAAACCTGGCTTTTGCTTGTTTAGTTGACAGTATTAGTTTGGGTTGGCCCATAATTGTAAACGTCAAAATGTGGGAGAGGCCATAACACAGTAATTTGTGCCAGGCAGGGGCCATTTCCTGCAGGAGTGCACAGGAGCAGAGCTCCGGCAGTAAGGAGCCCAGGGGGCAGGCACATGCAACAAGCCCCACCCCCTGCTCCCAGCAGCTCTCAGTCAGAGCAAGAAGCAGTCAGGTAA